TGTAAATGTATAAATGTCCACACAGAGAATCAGTTTTCACACTGCTTGAAACTGTATCAGAGCTGTGAGAGAAGCCACTTCCTACCAATCTCCCATCTTGTCTCCCTCACCAACTTTCAGATACTTTTTAAATGAATACAAAGTCTACTTTGTATACTTTAAAGATAGAAATTTTATCAGGCTTTATTGCATTCTTGTTAAAATCAGAAATCACATATGAAACATAATTTATAGCCATGTTTCATTTAAAGTAACTCTTTAACTTCATACTTTCTTATAGATTTCCTCCTTAACAAGACCCCTAAAATGCAAAAAGAAATCAATAAATAGGATGCCATAAAACTAAAAAGCTTCTTCACAGCAAAGGAAACAATCAAGAATGTAAAAAGAGAGCCTACAGATGGGAGAAAATCTTTGCTACCTAGAGTGTTCATTTCCAGGATACATAAATAACTCAAGAAACTTAACAGCAAAAAAAAATTTAATAATGTAATCAATAAATGAGCAAAAGAAATAAACAGATACTTCCCAGAAGAATAAGTATGAATGATCAACAAACAAGTGAAGAATATTTAACATCTCTAGCAATTAGAAAAATTAAAATTAAAACTACACAGAGTTCATCTCACTCCAATCAGAATGGCAATTACCAAGAATACAAGTAACGATAAATGTTGAAAAGGATGTGGGGTAAAAGCTACACTTAAACATTGTTGATAGGACTACAAATTGGTGTAACCACTCTAGAAATCAGTATGGAGATTCCTCAGAAAACTTGGAATGTAACCCCAATTTGACCCAGTTATCTCACTCCTCAGTTTATATCCAAAAGATTTAAAATCAGCGTACTATAGTGATGCAGCTACATCAATGTTTATGTCAGCTCAGTTCACAATATGGGACCAATTAGATGCCCTTCAACAGATGAATGGATAAAAATAATAAGATATATGTGCCCAAAGGAGTATTATTCATCCATAAAGAAGAATGACTTTATGACATTTGCCAATAAATGGATGGATCTGGAGACTATCATACTAAGTGAAATAAGACAGTCCCCCAAAACCAAAGGTCAAATATTTTCACTGATATATGGAAGCTAACCCACAATAAGGGGCAAGAGGAGAAGAATAGATATTTATTAGAATAGACAAAGTGGGATAAAAAGAAGGGAGGATGATAGGAAAAGAAAAGACAGTGAAATGAATCTGAAAGAATTTTCCTATGAACTTATATGAATACACCATAGTGAATCACACCATCATGTACATCCATAAGAATGGAGTCCTAACTAGAATAAGATATATTCCATGCTTGTATAATTATATCATAATGAATTCTACTGTCACATATAACTAAAAAGAGTTGATTTTAAAAAAAAAAGGATGCCCTAGGTGTTGTAAGGAAATGGAATTGGTTTTGTAAAATAGACACATGCCCTTAAAAATGCTGAAACAATGGTTGTCCTGGAGTTCCCAGGTGAACAGAGCCCCTCACCTGGGTGAATTTTTCTTTGCATCAAAATGAGCTCTTTTCACCTGTAATCCCAGTGACTCTGGAGGCTGTTGGTAAGATCGTGAGTTCAAAGCCAGCCTCAGAACTTAGCAAGGCCCTGATCAACTTATCAAGACCCTGGGTACTATGATGAGAATTATTGAAACGCAAATCATGAGAAAAACCTCATACAATTAAATTGAACTCACAATTTTTTTGCTATTAAGAGCATACCCTAGGGGCTGGGGGTGTGGCTCAAGTGGTAGCTCCCTGGCCTGGCATGCGTGCAGCCCGGGTTGGATCCTCAGTACCACATACAAAGATGTTTTGTCCGCCAAAAACTAAAAAATAAATATTTAAAAAAATTCTCTCTCTCTCTCTCTCTCTCTCTTAAAAAAAGAGCATACACTATATATTATTCTAGGAATTCAGTGAAAAACACTGAATAAAAGATAATTCTTTTTTTAAAAAGGCTTTAAAGAATTATAGAACACCTCAGTTTATACCAAAAGAACTTAAAATCAGTGTACTACAGTAATGCAGCCATGTTAATGTTTACAACAGCTCAATTCACAATAGCTAAACTATAAAACCAACCTAGGTGTCCTTCAATAGATGAATGGATAAAGAAAATGTGGTATATATACTCAATGGACTATTACTCAGCTTTAAAGAAGAGTGAAATTATGGCATTTGCCAGTTAATGGATGGAGTTGGAGAATATCATCCTAAACAAAATAAGCCAAAAAGCCAAAGGCCAAATGTTTTCTTTAATATGCTAATTCATAATAAGGCGGGGAGCACTAGAGAAGAATAGCATTACCTTAGATTAGGTAGAGGGAAGTGGAAGAAGGGAAGGGAAGAGGATGTGGGAAAGACAGTAGAATGAAACAGACATTATTACTTTACGTATTTATGTGACTACATGACCAATATGATTCTGGAACATGTACACTCAGAAAAATAATAAATTATATCCATCTATGTATGATATGTCAAAGTGCATAAATGCATTCTACTGTCATGTATAACTAATTAAAACAAATTTTAAAATTAATAAAACAAATAAAGGAAAATGATTTTAAGCATTAGAGAACAAAATAACCTATTAAAACACACAGAAAAAAAAGTATTATAGAGCAAACTCTACCTTTTTTCTAGAAAGACTGTGACTTTTGACTAAATGCTGAAAGCTACAATTTGACATAAACTATACTCTATGAAATTCCCAATGCAAGACAAATTGGCCAAAACAACTCACCACAGTAAATATTGCTCTTGTGGTGGGATTCTTATCCTGCAGAATGGCATTTTATTGTAACAGACAGCATGAAGTTTATACCTATTATATCAGTCCTTGAAAACCAAGCAACTTTAAAAGTTAGCAGCAGTTTCTGCAAGTATGAAAATACACATTTATTACATAGCATTCATTACAATCTATATCATACAAACTTGAAGGATTTTAATGCATCAGATTAATATATTATTGACTGCTGAAATAAAATAAAATTACCTGTAGTCTGTCTTTAAATCATACCATATAGTACTTTACAGCAATATCATCAAACTATTCACATAAAGCTTCATAAGTGTATCTAAGAGAAGACAGAGTATGGGAATACTTCTTAAAGAAGATTAGCAATAATTTTATATGGTTCAAATTTGGTAGATTATTTTTCTACATGGCAAGATGAAAGAAAAAAAGGTTAGAATTCTTATTTTCGGAAAGTAGAGAATAATTTCTTTCAGAAAGACACTCCAAGTCATAACAGCTTCATTCACAGCATGAAGTTCTGACAGTAGTATGCCCTAAAGGTAAAGGGTGTCCCCAATGACTTTATATATTATACCACAAAAGATGCATATGGACAATTCTGTGACATAATATGGAAAAGTGGCTGGCTCTAAAATGAATCTACTTCACAACTGAGATGGCCAATTCATGAAGACACTTTGGATAAAAAGTCTAAAAGTTAATTATAATGATTAAAGCAAACAGGGTCATGTCTCCCAGAGACAGGTAGCACCCATAGCCAACATTAAAATAACTTCTGTCTTGGGCTGGGGATGTGACTCAAGTAATAGTGCGCTCACCTAGCATGTGTGAGGCACTGGGTTCAATTCTCAGCACCACATAAAAATGAAATAAAGATATTGTGTCCACCTAAAAAACTAAAAAATAAATACTTTAAATAAATAAATAACTTCTGTCTTAAGGGAATACTGTTTCGTAACTTATAAATTTATCTCGCAACTTTGGGATGAAGGAAGAACATCTGATATGACAGTTTCCTGGAAATTGATTTTTAAAAAATTAGAATAAGCTAGTTTGTAGAAGAAAGGTCTATTTGATAGTGGGCTAAAAGTGATCATATGGGCCCTGTTTTATTTCTTACAAATTAGTAGTTAAAATGAAGGATGATGCACATTAATTTTTGGTGTTATTCATCCACACCAGTTAGAAAACCCTAATAATTTATTCCTAGGTGAAGAGATATACTGGCATAAGCTTTAAGAACAGACAGAGGAGAAAGGTCCATGCATATACAATAAACTAATGGGATCTAAATCATCTACAGTTCAGAAGTCCTTTGGGACAAAACTATGGAAAAAAAAAATCAGAAAGTAAGAAAGTCCAAAGCCAAAGACCATCTGAGAAAATAGGCAGCCATTTAGTTGAGTATTGTATTCTGTGGCTTCTCATAACCTGCCAATCTAAAAACATTATGGAAATTATTATTTATAAGTAATATTTTCCCTTGCTGAGTTGAACGTGAGAGGCATGGCTGAAGAGAAGCACTTCAGCCAATAGATGTCATACTTTGCTCATGGATAGGTAACAGTATTTGTGTAACTGAGAAAAGACTGTTGTAGTCTTTTTCCCAGCGGGAAGCTAGTGACTGCTATCAGGAGGTCACTTTCTTAGTAGTAAAAGTCACATATCTGGGGTGTGTTCCTAGTACACAGGTGTCTTTGGAAAGGGCACTAAAATGAGCAAACACTTCTGTTATAATTTAGATATGGGATGTCCCTTAAAAGCTCATATATGAGACAATGCAAGAGGGTTTAGAGGTGCAGTGACTGGGTGATGAAAGGTTTGACCTAGTCGGTCCATTAATCCACTGATAGAAATTAACCAGGTGGTAACGGTAGACAGGAAGGGCGTGGCTGACAGAAGTGAGTCACTGGGGTGTCCCATTGGGGTATATATTTTGTCCCTGAAGAGCCGACCTTATCAGTCTGTGTCTGTCTCTCCCTCTCCCTCTCCTTTTCCCTCTCTCCCCTTCCTTATTATCATGTTCTGAGCTTCTTTCCTCTTCCCCGTCCTTCCGCTATGATACTCTGCCTCATCTTGGGCCCACAGCAAGGGAGTTAGTCATCTCTGGACTAAGACATCTGAAACCATGAGCCCCCAAATAAATTTTTCCTCCTTTATAATTGTTTTTGTCACAGCAGGGGAAAAAAAAAAGCTGACTAAAATAATTTTCATCTTTCTCCTCCAGGTCTGTTTTTTGGAGGCTTTGAAAAGCAATTCGACACTACTTGGAAAACCAAATCAACAACAACAACAAAAAAAAATAACCAATATACATGGCCTTCACGGCTCTTGTACCACTCAAGTTTTCTCCACTCTAACAACATCACTGGACTGGTTCCTACAGTAATCCTGTGAAGATATAAGATGCTACAGAAAAGATTGTATTTGGGGTTATAGGATAAAAATATAATGTTTTCTCTAAGACATTTTAGTATTAACTATAGGTTGTTACCTATCTGTTGGGGACATGGCCCTGTTTGCTCTAATCATTATAATTTACTTTTTTCTATATTCTTGCCCCCCCAAAAAAAAACTAATGGTTTTTAGATGCCTAAGACCCCATTAGTTTATTTTATACATTGCATTTCACCTAGGAATAAATTCTCAGAACTTGACAGTCAGTTGGAAAGGATAGTACTAAAAATTGATGTACATCTCCCTTCATTTCAGCTATTCACCTACAAGAAATTGCTTAGAGCACACTAGCTCAAATTCAAGGAAAGATTTTATATGCTTTATTTCACTTCCACACAAGTTTTTCTTCTTAATTCTTTGACTATTGGCCTTTTTCTGGTCTGCTTATTAAACACTCCATGCAATGTGAAGAGATTTTTGGTACCATTCCCTTTGCTCTCGGGCTCTGATTCTTTATTTATGATATCCTGGGTTTTTCAGAACACTGACCTCACAGACTTGTTGACAAGTGTCTGTACATGTTTCCCTAGCCCTCTTTGTGTATCCTTAAAATTCCAGGACAAGACAAATCTCATGATTTAATAAGGAAAGGCTTATCAGATATTAGGTGATAAAATCTTTAGTATTTATGTTTTGCCAAGTAGTCTCAAAACAATTGTTTAATTGTCCCAGTATTTGCAATAATTATCCTTATGTTACCTGTCTCAGATACCTTCCACAAAGGGGTCATAATACTGTCTGTATATTGTTGTTAGCCCAGTTTCTGTTCTTGTAGACATTCAATTCTTATTACAGCAAAATAACTTTGGTTAATGTCTGTACCCATCATTACACACTACTTCAGGCACCGCATCTGGGCTGTGCACATTTTTTATAATTACAGAGCTGGATGATAAGGCTCATCCCCAAGGCACAGGACCAGAGGAACCCTTCTTTCCCCATTCTCCTCTCCGGTGGGATTTCATATAAAGTTTGAATCTGCTTCCAAATAGCCTGAATGGAGAGCTACAGTGTTTCTCTGAGTCCTGACAAAGCTAATAGCTTCACCATGGAGCTGTACAGCTCTAAGTCCTTCAGCCCCCTTTAGGAGCATATCTTTCTGTCTCTCTTGCTGTGAGTTGGCTTTAGGAACACCAGAAGTATGTGGAATTGACTAAGAAAACTGTTACGGAACTATTTTTTTTCCCTTTGTCTGGCTGCCTTTGTGCTCTTTTTGAGAGCCCAGTTTTGCAAACTGGTCACACCATTTCTCAATCATGTGCTGGGGTAAAAAAGTTACAGAATGCATTTGTGAATGCCACTCTATAGTATACTTTTTTATATAATCTGGTGGCTGCTGACCTGCCCTGTTAAGGAACTGGATATTCCAGAAATGAGGTTAGAATTGCTAAAGTCAGAAAAACTCTTCCCTTTTACTTTGACCTTGAAAAATACAATCCACTGTAGAGGATATGTCAGTGGATATGAACACACAGTGTTCAGAAATCTGAGATGAAGCATTGTCCTTGGAGTTCACTAATGAGCCTGACAAAGATAAGTTAGAATAGCCAGGTCTTGGGCAAATATTTTGTTTCAGGGTAAAACCTCAGTGCTTTGATTCATGTCACTACTTTTGCCCATCTCAATCCCCATGCCTAAACTCTATTTTATTCTGATGGGATAAAATAAATTTTATTCCCTCAATTTGCTAAGACTTAGGCCATTGGAGACAATCTTCCTCTTTACATAAGAGACCAGCTTCACAACTGGTTTTATATTGTTTCTTTGAATGAGTGCTCCTGAGATAGCTCAGTGTGCAGTCTTGGTCACCTGAAGTGGGCTTTGAGCAGCACCAATGTGTCTTTGAACTCTTGAGAGTATCTGCTGTGTTTGGCAAGGAATATCCAGATAAATCTGCATGGAAGGGTTAGTTCTAGGAAGGATACTGGTAAAGCATATGACTATAAGATACCACAGAAATGGTCACTGGCTTGGATTTAGTGAAAGGTCAATTTCCTTCATTACCAGACAAGCTTTTTTTATTTTATTTTTTAGTTGTCAATGGATCTTTATTTTATTTATTTATATGTGGTGCTGAGAATCGAAGCCAGTGCCTCACACAAGCTAGGCAAGCGCTCTACCACTGAGCCACAATCCCAGCCACAAGCTTTTATTCTTAATGATCTGATTTAAATGGTATTTTCCTTGTTGACATAGTGCCTGTAACTAAACATGTCTTACTCATTTCCTTCAGGGTTTAATTCTTCTTCAGATAACCTTCATCATTTTGAGATAGCATAGCATTACAACTACACTTACATAACTTTTTCTGCTAAAATTCCTTAATGTAGGAAAGTTTTGAGTTTAAGGAGTCAGTGTTGGTTCCTGAACATCAGTGGTACGGGCCACAAAGTTTCTGGAGCATCTGCCACAGCTGTGGACAGGTAGCTGGGTCTACAAATGCCAGATGGAGCCCTGGCTTATCTCTCCCCTGTGTGATCTTTCTGTACTTTATTGAAATATTCACCAGCTTAGATTCAAGAGGTTCTTTCATTTGAATGTCTTCATGTTTAGAGTGATCTAAGTCAAAACCATTCAGGGTTAAAAAATTTTCCAGCTGAAGCTGGCCAAGGTCACAGTGATTGAAGGTTAAGATAAAATCCTTGTTTCTGCTACACTGACCATTCTACATCATCCTATTTTCCAAGCTATCATAGGAGGAGTTATTCAGTTGGAAGCTAGAGATATCTGTCAAAAAATCAAACTATGATAAGCATTTTTACTTACCACAAATATATTCTGTGTTGTCTTCAAACTACACTTAGTTCAGTGCTCTGTTTATGTACAGTGTTCAAGTTCCCACTCTCAAGAATGAAATAATCACAATGTTTCTAACTATTAATACAGCAGAAAAAAATACCTGTTGGAGTATAAATGATTCATTTCAGTTCACAAGGAAATGGGCTATCTTGGGGGTAAGATTTTCTTAAATCAATAAACACAAGTAAATATTTACTCTCAGGGACGTTCTCTTTTATGTCCTATCTTACTACAGCTTCTCCCAAGAGGAAAATAATTTCTTCCCCAAATATCCAATAAGCAATTTCTAATCATAAATTGTATAAGCAGGTAAGCCTATGAAAAAGGAAAAGATGAAAGTGTCACCTTTCATTTAACCTGTTTACAAAGCACATTTCATATATGAATCCTGATTTTAACAAAATTCACAAAAACTTAGAGAAATAATTATATCTTAAAAGTATACAAAAGTATGATTTTTGTGTATTTAAAAAAATCTACAAAAGTTTCCCCTAAAAAAAAAATATGCTGTTTTTAAGAGCAGTTTGGGTGTAGAAGTAAATTTTTTAATCAATGGAGTAAAGTTCTAGTTTGAGCCTTGGCTTAACACTAACAATTTATACCAGTGACTTTGTCTTCAAAATTAGGATAATTTCAAGTATTATCCATGGAGTGTTTGGGGTGAAAAAATATACTTTGCTAGTAAACTGTATAAAGTGTCAATAAATCAAGACATATGAAAAGTACTACTCAAGAAAAGGGCAGCTTGGGTATATGATAAAGAAAATGTAGAGGTAGCCAAAAAGAAGATGTGTTTTTCCTGACTAGTTGATATCCATTCATTGCTTTCTACTATTCTCCCAAACTGGAGGTACATAAGGAAGAGAAAAGAGTTTGCTAGAGGGGCTGGGGATGTGGCTCAAGTGGTAGCGCGCTCACCTGGCATGCGTGTGGCCCAGGTTCGATCCTAAGCACCACATACAAATAAAGATGTTGTGTCCAATGAAAACTAAAAAAATAAATATTAAAAAAACATAAAAATTTTTAAAAAAAGAGTTTGCTAGAGCTTTTGCCTGCATTGAGATATACTGCAAACTGGTTGTGTTTCTTGCCCTGATAACTGAGAATAAAAGGGAGGAGAAATGTTGGGACCAAAGGGAAGTGATATCTCCAAACCCCTTCATAACGGTCAGATATTGTAGTAGCACAATTTCAAACAACAGCTTCATCATCATCACCTCCATTTTTAGATGAGGAAGTTATATATCTGGCAAGAGATGGGACTGAGAATTTAACTTTGGCTCATCTGATTCCAAAGTTCTTAGGACGTGTGTTTAAACAACTGTTTTCTTATCAGTCTGTGATGTGAGTCAGTCCTGCTTATTAGCCTCCTTAAAGGGAAAAGTTGTTTCATAAAAAAAAAAAAAAATCTGCTATGGCTTGTCATTATTTCCTGAGCTTCAGGAGTCCTACTGAGAAAGTCATTGCCTGAGCCTAAAAGCTGGAGTGTTGGTTCTACATTGTCTTCTAGGCATTTCATAGTTTCTGGTCTAATTTCAATGTCTTTGATCCATCGGCAAAATATTTTTAAACTGTTCTAACATGGATATAACTTTAACCGTTTTCATCATTTTAATAGACTTGTTTATAAAATGTAAATATTCTAGAAGTATTTTTGAGAATTGCCAATTAGAATAATTACCTTTGAATTGTATTTATCTTCTCTTCATCATTTCCTTGAGTCATTACTCAGACCCATGATCATGGAGATCTGATGAAAAAAATATTTCCTAACTATTTCATGGGAAATCCTTCGACAGATAAAAATAAAAATTTTTAAACCATTATTGTCATTGGAAATATGCAGTAGAGAAATTAGAAAACATTCTTTGAAGCGTTATATCTTCTGTTTTTTTGAAGTACGTGTAGATCTAGGCCAACTCTCCACTAATTTCTGCATGTAGAACATTTGCTCCAGTTCCTATATCACAATAAAACAGGAGATATTGGAGGTCTGGATTATGGTGGGAAAAGCAAAAGACAATCTTTTAGAGCTGAAAACTCCTTTTCACGTACAGTTTAGCAAAGTAGTACAACATATTAAGATCTGGCAGTAAACCACACTAAATGTTGTTTTTTCCTCCTTCCTTAAACAACTAGTTCAAGGAAAGGCCCCAAGATATCTCTGAGGCTCATAATCTGGCAATATTCATTCTATCATTCTTAATGTGTTTGTCATAC